GATTTACGAAAAGCGACTTGAATTACAAGATTTGAAGTTCAATCAACAAATTATTTTTGCCAGGCAACTTGTTTCGATGGAAAAAGATACAAGAATAAATATTAATTTTATAACAATAAGGCAGTCGTTAACTTATTGTAGCAAGATTAAAATTTATTAATTTGTTTTAAGCATTGAAATATGAGATTGATACATGGGAGAACACTCCTATTTATACAAAATTCGTCAATACGTTTCAATTCTATCTATATTATAAAATTATAAAAAGATATATATAATAAAAGGTAAAAAAGGTAAATAGAAAAAGATAGAAAAGGTAGAAAGTAAGGGTAATAAAGGTAGAAAGAGTAGATATCGAAGGTAGAAAAGATAGAAAAGGTAAATAAATAAGGTAGAAAAGATAGAAAAGGTAGAAAATAAAGGTAGAAAAGGTAGAAAAGATAAATATCGAAGGTAGAAAAGATAGAAAAGGTAGATAAATAAGATAGAAAAGGTAAAAAAAGGTAAATATCAAAGGTAGAAAAGATAAAAAAGATAGATAAATAAGGTAGAAAGAATAGAAAAGGTAGATAAATAAGGTAGAAAAGGTAGAAAAGATAGAAAGTAAAGGTAGAAAAGATAGAAAATAAAGATAGAAAGAGTAGAAAAGGTAGATAAATAATTATTATACGATTATTAAATAATCAATATGTATATACTATTTTTATCGATTTTATTACTATTTTTGAAGATTTTCATATTTTCTATTATTTTTAAAAAATTCGTTAATTACAGAATTATTGAAAATAATTGTAACAACATCTTTAAGTATGTCAAGAATTACAAAATATAACACTTTTGAGTGTGTTAAAAATTATAAAATATGACATTTTTGAGTGTGTCAAGAATTATAATATTCAATACATATCTGAGTAATCATAACCTAAACTAAGTAGAAATAACATAATTATGTTATTTTCACTAGTTTATTTATAAAAATTTATTATTATAGTATCAAAGATAATTCATCTTTATCTATATACATTTTTATATCTATTTTTTCTAATTAATTAATTTATAATTTTAGTAATAAAGTATTTAAATATTTCAAATTATTCCCAGACACTTAATTATTATAATTAAAATTAATTATTATAATTAAAATTAATTATTATTATGTAAAATTTACAAGAAGCCTGGAAGAAGCAATTATTATTATTTGAAACTTGCAAGAAGTGATTATTATATAAAATGGGTATTATTGTTCAAAGCTTATAAAAAATAATTATTATTGTGCGAAAAGATTATTATTATCTAAAAAAACTTGAACAATTATTATTATCCAAAATCTGCAAGAAATAATGATTGTTCAAAACCTACAAGAAGTAATTATTTATTGTTTAAAATCTATATGTGATTGTATTTTCTTATATATGATATATATAATGTGCTAGAAATATTAATATTAAAGTGATTATTATATATAAAACTATCTTTTCAAAATCTAGAATAATTTTTAATTGGTCTTGAGTTTCTTTTAAAGTAGTATTTTCCACTTGTAGTTGGTTAATTTGCTTTTGCTATTATTTGTGCTTATATAAAATCACGTAAAGAATGATAATAACAAAAATGGAGAGTGATAATAAAAAAAATAACAAAAATGAAGTGACAATAGCAATACCCTTCAAGTTATTCAGAAACAGAATTCAAATCCAGTGATTTTGAAACAGAATTTGAATTTAGTAATTCTGAACAGGTGAATGAATCCTTTTAGTTAACTGAAAATGGTTTTGTTTTTTCATTCAATGATTTTATTTCTGCATTCAGAATAGTATCAGATTCAACTGATCCAGAACGAATAAATATATTTAATAATCTTATTCAAGATGGCAAGGGCTTTGGGACGAATAATTAATTATTGCATTTTTTTCTTGCTAAATATTCATTGCATTTTTTCTTGCTAAATATAATTTCATTCTAAGATGTCACCAAAAAAATCTGATAGATACTGATTCGAAACAGTCGGAGAGACCTATCAAATCAAGAGCACCTCTTGCATGATTAGCTAAGAAGGATATCACTTGCATCATGTATGCGAAAGACTTGAGGGATGGGTCTAAAAAAGTTTCAGAGTGGTATAAAATTAGCACTCAAAAGTGTAATAAAATCTGGAAGTCTGAGAACCCGTACTCGTATGCAAATTCAATCGAAGATGCGAACTTACCAGAATGGTATAGCAAAAATATTAGCAAAGCTGGCACGGCCAAAATTGAAAAGAATGAAACATCACCCGATCCAATGCCTCAAGAAATAATTATACCCGAGAAAGCCGATATCAAGCCCGATTTTATCGAGATAAAGAGGAAGAGAAAAACAGCTGAGATTGAGCGGATCGCAAAGAATATATTTAGAACAGAATTGGGTAAGCTGGTACAAGCCGACGACTAATGCAGAGATAAGTTATTTTTGGTTGTACATATAACCGCGATATAGATTATCTGATTTTTACGTATTATGTCGCACGTTTCTATCGAAGCATGTGTTTGAGATAACGTAAATGCAGAGTCGATCATGAGGGGTTAACGTGGTATTAGTTAATCGTGCACGGGCTAAGAATAAAGCACAAGGTGCTAAAACCACCTTCATTACCATAATATATTCTTTATTGATATGATTACAATTACGAGCAAATTAACAATTAATAAAAATGTATAGAAGCGAAATCATCAATAAAAGTTTTTCCAAAAATAAACACATCTACTTAACTTTAATCGAAATAGAAACAAAGTTTCATTGCTCCGCAATAGGTATCTTCGTTTATGATCGAATGTCAATGCGCCCCACAATTAATTAATAGCGAAGATAGTGTCTCTAACACATGTTACTAATCGGGTTTTCTTTCCTCACATAGATGGACTCATTCAACATTTCGGAGAATATGCCTTTTATGGCCTTAACTGCCTCTTTGTTTTTCTTCCTCGTGACGATATTCCCTGAACACGTTCCTTTGTGTGTGGGGGTTGTTACCACATGCTTCTTTTTGTACCACCAATATTACTGCAGAAATCGGCAAAATCAAAGCCGAAATTAATGATAAACTTATCTCGGAAATCGCAAAAATTAATTCTCGTGATGCTAATTACGTAGCAGAAGCCTATCAATGATTAATAACGTGACTACAAGGCTTGGTGAAACAGAGCGAATTCTAGAAAACTACCATAACAATTTTGGTATAATCGCGACTGAGATCGAAGAAATCAATAGATCTATCGCGACACTTCAAAGTGAAATTAATCAACGCCATGCACTTATCCAAAGCATGAATAGAAGGGGATCCGACCAACCAAGCGAAGCCTCATCATCATCCGTCCATTCTTCATCTCCAAATTCATCAGTTAAAGATTATTGAACCGAGATGCGTGATATGTATAACGAGAAAAAATAATTAAATTGCTAATAAAAAAATCTTGATTACAGCTTCTGAACGAAACCAATATACCAACATTACCTCAACTATTTGGACTCGCTTTAAAGTTATTTTTGATAGGGTCAAGACCGAAAGAAATCTCACTTTTGATGAAATGAGTTATGGTGTAGCGATGCGCATCCGTGAACTTGGAGGGAATATTAAACAAGCAACAATTAAAATTTTTAATAATAATAGCACCCGTTGTAGTAGTTCTACACTTAATGATATAGGTAAATGGCTAGATGATATGGAGTAGGGAAAGGAACTGCCATTACCTTACATTGTAAAGGGCCTAGGATCCCGGCAGGCATGATCAAAAATGCTTTATTCCTCCCTCTTTGTTCTTACTCCATATTTCTACCCACCGGATTAGCCTTTTGCATTTGTAAAATAGCGTTAAATATTGATTTGTACAGATTTGTTGGTTGCCACTATACAAGTTAGAGTAACCAAAAGAAATGACACTCAGGGTTTCGTTCAACACATAAAATGTGGAAGAGTACCCCCTAATTGTACCCCAAGGCAACAAGTTAATGATAATTAACTTGAAGCGGGAATCGTGGCACCTGCATAATGTTAGGCGCATTGCCATAATAGCAACCCCAGGGTTTCGTTCAACACCAATATTTAAGTGGAAGAGTACCCCATAAATTATACACAAATCTTGTTCTGTCTAAGACTGAAAAACAAAAAACTTGCATTGTAATCAAAATGTTAAATTGCTCTATGTCACATGACAGAGCATGAAGCAATTGGTTAACTATCACGCGTAAAGAAAAAAAGTGGATGATACCTCCAATACTGGACCAACTTATGTATTAACATCTAAATTATTTCCGTTGTCTAGCAGGCTTTTGATCCAAAAATGTCAACACGGTACGCTTTTCTAAATACGTGATTTTCGCAGCACGCGTACTGATTTAGATAAATTAATTAGTCTTTTCTTGTATAGAAAAAACCAAAAAATGAAACGAATAAAAGCATACGACGAGCTAAAAACTGAGCGAGTTTTGGTAAGTTTACCGAGCGCCTTTTTTTGTGGTTATGAGGATATAATTAATTTCATACTTGCATTGCAGAAAAAACATAAGGCCGAGACCTTGCAAAATGCGAGCGACCAAGTCTTGGATTTTCAAGAAAAATTAACTGGAGAAATGAGAAAGGAGCCTTTATTGGAATCTACAGTTGTACTTGATGAGGGTAATGACGGACAAAGTGTAAAGGACTATTATGAACCATCAGGTTCTGTTAATGAAAGGAAGATAACCAATCCATTGTTTTCGGTAAGTTCTTGATATAAAGCAATGGCGAGGTCTCGATGATGACAAAGATTTTGAGAATTAGCAGAGCTAATTATTTTGCATTTTAATCCTTTAGGACGATGAGGGACAGATGACTCGTTATAAAGAAGCGAAGAAAAAGAAATTATCATTCTGGAATAAGGTTAGGATATAATTTAATTTTTTATCTCTAACTTTTATAAGAGGTAAATCGAATTAATTTTTTTAGGGGAATATATTGCCTGACGGTAGCGAAATTGAAAAACCGACCCCTCTAAATTTAATACCATCGGATGAGGATGATGATTTCTCTCAAGAAACCGATGACGATGATGATGAAGGAATACCTCCAGAAGAATCGCTCACCTCTGCCTCTGACAGCTCAAAAATTTGGATTTTGCCTTCGGGTCAGAATGTTGGTGACATCTATGCTAAAAAGATATCTGAAAATGCAAGAGATATCAAAATTAACAGCCATTGGAAAAGCCATATTGCGCTATGGTGCATCAAATATAATTGATTTATCTGCTCACATGAAGAGTTGGTTTTGTGTCGATGATAAGAAGTTCATTGTGAAAAATTACGAATCTATGTTACGAATTCCTGAACTGGCAGTCGAAGAGAAATCATTTGTTTTGAAAATCGAGAATGTACGAGTTTTTATTTTTCATAAATTTAACTTGTCTGTCTATATTTATACATATCATTCATTATTCCTTGTAGATGGTACATGAAGGGAAAGTGGATCAGGCGTATAAATACTGTATGGAAATTCATATTAAGTCAGAAGAAAACAGCTATTTATATAAGATCAGCAAAATATACGGTGACTTGTGAGTTATTTAATTCTACCTGATCTTTATTTTTTTGTGAACCTAATTCTTATTATTCAATGTATACAGCATTTACAAAAGCAAGAACCAAGTGGATGTCTTGGATTTTGATTCAAAAAGTACACACACTGAAATCGACGTGATTTTAAAAGCTTGCACATATATTGTAGAGGGATTGAGCAAAAATCTCAAAATATATTCGAGATGGTTGGTATAAATGTTATTTGGTTTGTGATCCATACAATGTAACCATTTTTAAAATTTAAAATTTATACATTCAAGGGGAGAATCCTTTTGCCCGTTAACTAGGAGTGTGGACCATAAGAATGGACGTAAATGTGATGTTCGATTTTTATCAATTTCAGGAGTAGATCTTGGAGAGTGGGAGTATTCCGTAAAGGCTGTTGCAACTAAGACCATTGGTGATAGATGCCGTTCCGCTCGAATCAATCAATCAATTTTAAACGGATTACTACAATATAATCTCAATGATGAACAAGTTAAGGGCATCCAAGTGCCTTTTTTGCAGTTTGGTGGCACAAGCGGACAATTGTTAATTGAAGATCTAATGGAAGGCTTTTACATTGTCTTTCCCGGACCCAGGTTCGAATTACCTACAAAACTTCGGGATATTGGAAAACTGAAGACTTCTATCAATGTCATCAAGTCAGTCATGGTAAGTTTATGATTCCATTCATGTTATCAGAAAAATTTGTATGACTAATTTGTTTTAACACGTTGTGTAGGATATGTATAAAAAAACATGCGAGACCATAGAAAATTTAGAAACAACGCGTCATGAATTTGATGATATTTTCAGTGAAGATGATATAGTTGATACAACCAAACCCACTCATTTTAAATACACAGATATTTGTAAACCGTGGTGGACTCCGAAAAGTAAAAAGTCAAAATAGATAACGGAAATTCTTTTTGCTATAAAATCATATTTAGTTCGGGGTCAGAAAATTTAAAAACATGAATATGTATTTAGTTACATTTTAATTTAGCGATGGCCGAAGTGCGTTATTGAAAATATATAAAAGACTGCACCACAGATCACGTCACCTGACCGTCGGATACATTTCGTTATTAGCAAATAGGGCTGTTAAAGTCTGGTTCGGTTCGATCGGCTCCAGAAGCCGAGTTTTAATTGAGGTTCGGTCTAAAAGACAGACTCGAGCACAGTCATGTGACAAATGATTATTATTCATGTGCATCTATAATAGTTATTGTAATATGAATTTATTTAACTATGTAAAATATTGTTTATATAATGCTTATTTATCTAATTTATGTTATTTTTCATCTATTCTAAAATGTTGACATTCAACCAACTCTTTAAGTATATTGAGACTCTTGTTATCTCCTCAAGAAAACTATTTCTTTCAAGATTATTCAAGATTAAGAGTGTTCTTTACTGCAAAAAAGGCATGTTGTTACGAGTTTTGGGCTCAGGTAAATAATCTCATGACATGGGTGTTCAATTATTCTTTCTTGTAATTTTTCAGATTTCTACTAACTTCAATCTAATTGTATTAGAATCAGTACATGATGCAACTTTTATATTTATTAAAATAAAATAGAATATCACTACTATTAATAAATATTCTTCTTTTGTATTTACTTAGTGGGTGAAAGATCCTATAGCAATATAGTACTGATATTTTATAGCAACCTGGTTGAATGTCCAATAGTATGTAATAAAAATGAGTGTTATAATAATATTAATTATAAAATCAATTAATATATAATTTCATTAAATAATAAACAAAAAGTGATTTATTGAATAGCTAGATTTTGTATTGATCAATTGATATTTTTTGGTTTATCCAAAAGATTTTTTATTTATATAAAATATTTTATGATAAAAATATTATAATGTAAAATATATTATATATATTAAATAATTATATTATAGTAGATAATGTTGATATGTCTGAGAACTCTGCTATCTCTATTATCTCTACAATTTATATTCAATCACATGATCAAAATTAAGAAATTAAAAAATTAGAAATAATTCTGGATTGTAATAATATTTACAAGAAATACTTGTGATTTGCAATCTGTAATCATTAAAATTATGGTTGAAAAGCAAAGAATATTAGCTTTTTATCACAATAATGAATCAGTATTTGGTTTTGAAGATAAAGAAAGATAAATAACTAATTCATTTGTAGTTTCATTTTTTTTATTTTGATTTAATTGTATTAATTTTTGAAAAACTTCTAATGTGTATTCTTTTTTTGGTGTTAATGTTATATTATAGAAAACAAATAATTATTATAAAAATAGCCCTGTAAAAAAAAATTTTCGAACATATCAGGCAAAAATCTAGTTTTTTGTATTAATCCGTTTTTTATCCAGAATATTTTTCAGATAAAAACGGATCAATACAAAAAATCTGGTTTTACTTTAGCAAAAATCCATTTTTATTACCAGAGTAAAAACGGTTTTTAAAAGATTCGACGTACTTCCGTTTTTTTTTACTGGATGAAAAATGAATTTATACAAAAAATCTGGTTTTACTTTAGTAAAAATCCATTTTTATTGCTGGAGTAAAAATGGTTTTTAAAAGATCTGACATACTTCCGTTTTTTTTTACTGGATAAAAAATGGATCTATATAAGAAATCCAGTTTTACTTTAGCAAAAATCCGTTTTTTAGAAAATCTAACATAGTTCCGTTTTTTATCCAGTAAAAAAAATGGAAGTATGTCAGATCTTTACCATTTTTACTCTGGCAATAGAAA